CCAGCCTGGGTAACATAGTGAGACTCCTTCTCAAACAAACAAGTTGTGTAACAATAAAAGTAGAGGTCAAGGTGCTGGTTTTATTTTGGGGGGTGCTACAGATTGAACCCAGAGTCTTGAACATGCTAAGCACATGCTCTATCACTGAGCCATGCCATATGTATCTCCAATTGACCTGCACCATTGACTGAAAGACCACACTTTCCCCACTGAACTGACAGGGTTCTTTTGCTATAAATCAGGTGTAAGAAAATCTGGTGATTGTAACTGTGTGGATCCATTTCTGGACTCCTGTTCCATTGACTCATATGTCTGTCCTAATTACTATAGCTTTATAATCAGACATAACACCTGGAAAATCTAAGCCCTCCAGGTATGTGGTTTAAGGTAGCTTGGTGGTAGAGTCCTTGCCTAGCATGCACCAGGCCCTGGTTCTATCCTCACCACTGCAACAAAACAAACAAAAAAACCAAGATTGTCTTGAGTATGACAGATCTTTTGCATTGCCATATGCATATTAGAGTCAGATTAGAAATTTCTATGCACATCATAAAAAAGGAAGAAATAGCTGAGCACAGTGGTGTATGCCTATAATCCCAGCAACTCGGGAGGATGAGGCAGGAGGATCACARTTCCAGGCCAGCCTCAGCAACTTAGTGAAACCCTCAGCAACTGTGAAACTGTGTCTCAAAACAAAAAATAAGGACTGGGGATGTGGCTCAAGCGGTAGCGCGCTTGCCTGGCATGCGTGCGGCCCGGGTTCGATCCTCAGCACCACATACAAACAAAGATGTTGTGTCCGCCGAGAACTAAAAAATAAATATTAAAATTAAAAATTCTCTCTCTCTCTCTCTCTCTCTCTCTCTCTCTCTCTCTCTCTCACTCTCTCTTTAAAAAAAAAAAAAAAAGGTGGGTGCTGGGATTTTGATTAGGATTGCATTGACATTCAGGGGAAGAATTGAAACTGAGCTTACAAATCATCAACATGGTTTATCCTTCCATTTTCTATTTATTTCACATTTAATTACTGTCAGCTATGCTTTGCAGTTTTCAGTAAGAGGTCTTATACGTATTCCTTAGCTTGTCCCTAGCTATTTATTGTGATACCAGCTCTTTTAAGTAATATGGGAGTATGCCTGTCCAAATCATAGGTAGAAAGAGAGGACATTTTGCAGTGACAGGCTGGCCTGCTCAGATACTAGGGGAAAAACATATGGATAGCCTTCAGAGAGCTTAGTTATAAAATGCATTTAAGGGATCAGACTGGAAACATGAAAAGTTGTCTTTAAGAGAATAAATGCCCCTAAGTTACAAGGCCTGAAAGAGTGAATATATTAACATAGAGAGGGAGTATGTCAAGAGGAGTCACAGAGGTAAAAAGGATCACTGCCTACCTAAACGAAGGCTGGGAAAGTGCACTTTGTCAGGAAGGATGGGACCCCACAGCAGGGTGGCAAGGATGTGTTTATCAAGCTAGAGAGGCAAACTGGCTTTGTATTCCCAAGCAACTCTAATCATCGGGCTTCTCAAAGAGTGCGCTTCCAGGAAGAGAAGGTACTGGTGAAGTGGGTGTAGGAATCTGCCTCCTACCAGTTGTTTCTTGCTGAGAGCCATAGCCAAGTAGGAATGACGCATGGCATTTTGGGTTGAAAGGTGACCCTGCTCAGGGATTAGGGCGGCTCCAGGTTTAGGGTGGATCCTGCTGGGATTAGGGCAGATCCTGCTGCCTCAGGCGCCCACTCCTTTGGAGTTCCCGTTGAGTTCTCGCAGGGTTCTGAGAGAATTGGCGCACAGAGCCGGGTGAAGGCAATGTGTTTCCGGGAAGTGTGGGAGAGTGTCGGTGAGAGTTGAGGAATAAAGAGTTGCTGTTTGAATCTACAAGGCTTTGTGGTGGCTCGGTTATTTTGTGCCCAGCCAGACTGTGGCAGTTTCTCAGTGTAAATAGGTGGTGCTCTGTTGTCATTCCTGATCTCCCAGTAAATCAGTAAGACAGGTGAGCATCCAGGGTACGTGGGTGTCTGTCTGTCTGAATCTCCCTCCCATTCTTTTCTTTTACTTTTTTGTTTTTTCAGATGGTCTTGCTGTGTTGCCCAGGCTGGCCTTGAACTCCTGTGACTTGGACTTCAGGCAAGCAGGTACCACCATGGCATGGTTGAGAGCTAGGCTCCATCATGAATTTGCCAATATTAGTGCCACATAATGTGGCCTCTTGGTGACCTTATTAAGTGTCCCATCACAGCCAGATGGAAATGGAAATGGAAACTTTGTTGGATGACTAGAGGCTTGAATTAGTTATACATCTATAAACATACAGGTGTTTGTGAATTAGTTACCTATCAATTAAATAATTTTCATTCACTGATTAATATTTATGCTATGTTTTCTTCCAATTTCTAGAGATACAGAAAAACAAAATCCTTGCCTTCATAGAGCCTATATTTTAATGAGGGAGATGGAAAATAAATACATAGATATAAAAATCATGTCAAATGGGAGCTGAGAAAAGGAACAGAGTGGGCTATCATTGGAAGGTCCCTGAGGGGAGGCCTCTCTCAGCAGGTGATATCTGAGCTGAGCATGGATGAAGTGAGACCAAGCCGTACATGTGTGTGGGCAGAGTGTCCCAGGCAAAGGCACCAACAGTGAGCATGGCTTGAGGAGCCAAGTGAGGGGCACAGCGAGGTCACATGGGTCAGATTGAACAGAACCTCCCAGGCCCAGCTCAGGACTTTGCCTCTAACTCCACGTGAGATAGGAAGGCAGGGGCCTTGGAGCTGCTCTGACTTCTGTTTTATTAMGATGCTTCTGGCTGAGAGGCTAGGAGGAGTCACAGAAAGAGACGGGGTAGGGGGCTGGGGTGGTACAGCAGCAATCCAGGGGAGAAACCATGCTGCCCTGCACCAGGGGAGGTAGTGCTGTGRGGATGAGAAACAGATTCGGGGTTTTTATTTTTGTAGTTGTTTTTTTTTGGTACCGGGGATTGAACTCAGGGGCACTCAACCACTCATCCACTTCCCCACCCTATTTTGCATTTTATTTAGACCCAGGGTCTCACTGAGGTGCTTAGCACTTCACTGTTGATGAGGCTGGCTTTGACCTCGAAATACTTTTGTCTCAGCCTCCGGAGCTGCTGAGATTACAGGTGTGTGCCACCATGCCTGGCTCAGGGTATGTTTTGAAAGTTGAACCGGCAACTTAGGGTTCAACAACAACAAAAGACAACCCAAAATAAAGTGGGCAAAGACTTGAACATTAATTTTTTTCAAAGGATAATATCCAAATGGCCAGCAAGCCCATGAAAAAATGACTAGTTACAGGGTTGGGATGTAACTCAGTGGCAGAATGCATGTTTAACATGTACAAGGCCCTAGGTTCAGTCCCCAGCACCACTACACACACACACACACACACACACACACACACACACACACACAAAGAAGAAGAAGAACGGTGGGGAGAAAAAGAGAACATTCTTAGTTACAATATGATGTCACTTAGCTAGGTCATGGTGGTGGGGGCACAGCACTGTAAATGTTCTCACATACACTTTATGTACTGAACATACACTTACAGATGTTTGCAATGGCACGTGTTATGTGTATTTTACTATGTGTTATGGTTGGAAATATCTCTTGAAAAGTTCATGTGTTGACAGGATGATCCCAATGCAGCAAGCTTCTGAAAGGGGGCTTTAGGCAATGACTAGGGTTCTAACCTCAGTGTGGGTTATTTGCTAGGTTAACCCATTGATAGCCAAAAGGACTACTGAGTGGCGACTGCAGGCAGATGAATACTGGCTGGAGAAGTAGGTCACTGGAGGTGTGGCCTTGGACTCTAGTTACCCCTGACCCTTCTTCCCTCCCCACCCCCAGCTTCCTGGCTGCCAAGAGTTGGGCAGCCTTCCTCTGCAGTGCCCTCTGCCATGACCTTCTGCCTCACCGTGGGCCTTGAGCAATAGTTAGCTGAGGGCCATGTGCTGACACCTGTGAAACTAGTGTCAAACTAAACTTTTTCTCCTCTAAGTTGTTCTTGTGAGGTTTTTTTTTTTTTCTTTTTTGTCACAGAAATGAAAAGTTGATTAACACAACCATGATTTAAGAAAAAAAAATGTGAAGGGCTGGGGATCAGTGATAAAGCATTTGCCTGGCATGCATGAGGCGCTAGTTTTGATCTCCAGTGCCACAGAAAAATAAACAACAACAATAATATATGTACACACAGACATACAGTCTATATCATTTAAAAAATGTAGTTATATTCAGGTTACATTGTGAAAAAATATATCATTAAAGTAATTTCTTATTTAAGGCAAATCTAGGACTTTTAAGGGGGATTCAGAGCTGGGGAAAAAATTGTGAGCTTAAGCCTATATTATAAAGTTAATTTGTCAAAAAATATTTGGCTACTTTCTAATTATCACATACATCATCAGTATTATTCTTTGTGCAACATGGATTTTTTCCACCACAAGGTTTACAGTTCTCTGATTCACCAGATAAGAATCCTAATCCTGAACTTCAGAAGCAGCCCAGCCTTACAGAAGCCAATCTTATCTGACTTACTAAGACTCAACAACTGTTCTATTTATTTTCATTTCTAACCATTGGTACTRGACCTGGTACTAAGTTAACAAGTTGTGTGAAATCATTAGTGAACCTGCTAGTGATTTTCTTTGTGCTGTAAATTAAATTACTATGGGCATGAATATACAGAATATTTGGAACTGACCTAATAATGAAATATTAAGTCAGCATTGATCTCATAGGCTATGCACAGATGCCTTATCAATTTATTTTTCAATTGTATTTTTAATGAAGTAGTCATTCACTCATTGTCATTTAGCTTTTTATAATGATTCTACTTTATAACATATTTGGTTACAGAAAAAGAAAGAATTTTCAAAAAACTAAGAAAGCATTTCTAAAAGCATTTTTTTCAAATTACAGTGTTAAGTTGATCTCTAGCTCTGTAGGGTTGCATGTTACAAGATCTTTGAAGTTTTACTGTGTTTCAGCATTGTTCTTGAAGAGATATTCTGCCTACAATTAAAAAAGAAAAGTCAACAATTTATAAGATATTTATTAATAGTTATATATTTGTACCATTAATGCTTATAATTTTAACATAAAAGTATGTAAATTCTTTGCTTCCAAATGAATAATAAAATTCTATTATATAAGAATAAATAGGGGTTGGATGTTCTTGTATACTGTGAATTTGAAGGTATTTCTCAAATAACCAGACCCACAATTTCTCTATTCAGGTGTTTTCCATTAAATTTCAGGCAAATCTTATTTTCAGACTGATATTTTAAAAAATTAAACCTCTTACCAGAAAATCCACAGGATCATCCGGTCTGACTTTACAGCACTCATTCAGCCCCTGCATGAGGGTTGGCATCACATAGGTCATTAAGTAGTTCCTCAGGGGAACAGACTGAGCCTCCAGAAGTTCTCTTTCTTCCCGTTTTACTTCCTCTAGTCGCTTATTCTAAGAATAGAATGTTTGGAGGAGGGGGAAATGCACAGTCAGAAACGGTAGAACCTCTACACAACCCCCCCCCACCACTGCATTAGAACTGGATAATGCTAAAAATGTTACCACCTTATGATAAAGATGGCATGTTCAGTCAGCAGAGAAAAGACATAAATGACGCGATCACAACTGTCTCGTCATTTAGAAAATCAAAAGATGGATCCTTTCTGATACGAAAATAATTTCTAGCTGCCCGGGGGAGGAAATAGAGAGCAAAATCACAGGAGTGCTGCTGGGGAGTCCAGAGGGATTGGTACAGTGACCATGCTATCCCTGCTCAGTGCGCAGTATGGTCCCCCTCTCTCGGGATAACTCCAGATTTCCTTTGAAAACTCCTGCCTTTGGGGCCTGTTGTTTTGGTTTTGGTTTTGGTTTTGGCAAGACGAAAGCCTATTGGGCTAGGTGTCTTCTGCCCAAGGGCATTAGTTAAGGGTAGGCCCATCAGGTGGGCTTTAGAATGAAGCCAACCATGGAAGGTAGAGCAGAGAGGGAGACCACAGCTCCTTGCTGAATTATCTGAGCCACAAAATTGGGTCTCACCTGAAGCCTGGACTGTTCTGTTACAAGAACTCATAAACTTTCTTTAGGCCATTCTGAGGTTTGGGGTTTTTTTTTTTTGTTTTTGTTTTTGTTCTTGGTCACTCTCAAGGTAAAGTCATAACTGATATTTTTGCCTGAAAAGAGATGCTTCTCAGCAAGACAACAAACCCAGATACCCAAACTGGGAAGTCAGGCATCATAGCACACATCTGTGTTCCTTGTAGCCCGGGAGGCTGAGGCAGGAGGATCATGAATTCAAAGTCAGCCTCAACAACTTAATGAGGCCTTGTCTCAAAATTAAAAAGCATTTTAGGGCTGGGGATGTGGCTCAAGCGGTAGCGCGCTCGCCTGGCATGCGTGCGACCCCGGTTCAATCCTCAGCACCACATACAAACAAAGATGTTGTGTCTGCCAATAACTAAGAAATAAATATTTTTTAAAAAATTCTCTCTCCCCTCCCCCTCTCACACTCTCTCTTTAAAATAAATAAATAATAAAGTAGTCTTTTTAAAAAGGCCTGGGCATGTAGTTCAGTGGTTAGGTGTCCCTGGGTTCAATCCCTGGTACAAAAAAAAGTGGGGTAGGGTGGGGTGGGGTGCGAGGGTAACATCTCCCGGGCTACAAGGAACCAGATGTGTGCTATGATGCCTGACTTCCCAGTTTGGGTATCTGGGTTTGCTGTCTTGCTGAGAAGCATCTCTTTTCAGGCAAAAATATCAGTTATGACTTTAACTTGAGAATGACCAAAAAAAAMCAAAATTGTTTGGCCAGAGAAAACGCCATAAATAATATTAAAAGGTAGGTGATTAATTCAGAAAAACTATTTGTAGCACATTATAAAAAGCTAGGCTCTTTTAAAGAGTTTATGTAACTGCACACTATTGGCCAGGCATTGTGTGCTTTATGTTAATTAATGGGGTTTTTTTTTTTTTTTTAGTATTTTTTAGTTGTAGATGAACACAATACCTTTATTTTACTTATTTATTTTCATGTGGTGTTGAAGATCAAACTCAGTGCCTCATACATGCTAGGCAAGTGCTCTACCACTGAGCCACAACCCTAGCTCCTTAATTAATGTTTTAATCAGGTACAACTTTATGAAGTAGGTGCTATCATTGTTCCCACATTATTCATTTATCATTTTTATTTATTTTTATAGCTCTTAGATCAAATCCAGGGCTTTATAATGCTAGTGAGCACTCTACCATTGCGAGTCACATCTCTAGGCCTGAACCCCCATTTTACAGATAGAGAAATTGAGGTACAAAGGTAACTCTGGCAGGGCCACATACCTACAAAGAGAGTAGAGTGGGATTTGAATGCTTGGAGCAAGTCTTGGAAGACCAATTGAGGTTATTGCTGTTTCTATTATATTGCTTTATCAGAAGTTCTAATAAATAACAAGAAAAAGACAGCCTACACACACACAGTGACAACGTGCAACCTGAAACTTCAATTCCTAACCAAGTTGGAAAAAGTTGTCAAATCAGAGATCAGAGAATTAATCCAAATACAACATGGTTGGTTCTCTTTATCAGTTTGACATGTTGGAACAGATTTGAGAAAGCCAGGTGGAAGGAAGTGTTGGGAAACAGCCTCTGTTAGATGATGTGTGAACCAGTTTACCCTTGCTGGAGGGCTGGGGCTGGGGCGCAGTGGTAGGGTGCTTGCCTAGCACTTGTGAGGCACTGGGTTGGATCCTCTGTACCACATAAAAATAAATAAATAAAGTTAGGTCCATCTACTACTAAAAATATTTTTAAAACAACAAAACAAAACAAACAAAACCTTGAACCTCGCCCAGTCTGACCCAACAGACCTTAGGAATTTATGCCAAGGCAATCAATCCATCCCCCAAAGATGTGTGCTGAGGATGTTCTCCCTCCCCTCGTCCTTCCTTCTTTCTAGCCTGCCTTCCTTCCATCTTTTCACAACTTTTCTTAGTGCCTCTCAGGCATTGTTCTGGGCACTGAAAAATACAGCAGTGGAACATSATGACAAAGATTCCTGTTCTCATGTAAGTTGAATTCTGTGCAAGGAAAGGGCAAGAAACAAGTTGAACATRTAAAATATATAGAATTGTTAGAGAAGAAAGTCAGAAGTACGAAAGGGTGTGTAACGTGGTGGGAAGAAGACGGGTTGAAATTCTACAAATGGTGGCCAGAAAGAGCCTCCTTAGAAAGAMACTTTTAGCAGAGTTGTGATGAGGCAGTCAGTCATGCAGATGGTGTGAGAAGACCAGCGGGACAGAGTTTGAAATTGGGAAAGATTCAAAGTGCCCGGGACACTCAGGACCTTGTGAGTAACAATGAGGAGAATGGACTTTTACCTAACGGAGCTGGACAGCCCGAGAGGAGCTTTAAACAGCGATGCCCGTGGTGGAGCTGCAGGTTAGAAGCACCCCCTGGCAGCAGCGGGGAGCAGTGGGAGATGGACAGGGGCAGAGAGGAAGAGCCGGGGAGAGGACACCCCCTAATTCTGAAGAGACACACCGACCCTGGTCAGGAGAAGTGGAGAGTGTGGATGGATCTGAGTGCTGTTTTRGGAAGCAGAATTAACCAGCCTTAGTGATCAGGAAAATGAGGCTGACCACTTAGGTTAGATGGGTAAATGGAGGAAAAATCAAACCAAGTCAGAGCACGCAGCCAAATGCAGCACAGTCACAGAGGTGTATGTTATTGCTCCTACTGACAGTGCCTAGTTTTTCTCATTAATTAAGCAAAAGACTGAGGATGTCTTTTTAAGATGGTACATATAACGGAAATCCATGTTTGGGTGTTTCCATGACCCCTCCCCCCCATGCTCACTCACCCACTCCTCCCAGCGGGCCAGCTTCTCCGCGGCCTCCAAGGCCTCGAGGCGCTCACGCTCAGCCTCCGCGGCAGCCTCCYTAGCCAGGCGTTCCTCTGCAGCTCGCCTCTCGGCTTCGACCTTTTCCTCCTCTGTTAAACCATAATTTCGAGGCTGCCCAATCTCTTTGATGAGCTGTTTGATGGCAAGTCTGTTCTGAGCATCTTCAAGTTTTCCTACATCTTTACATACGGGAGAGGGCAGACCAACACATACTTATATTCTAGGCCTGACTGCTATTAGGGAGATTTTTTCTTATTATTAGCTTGTGATAGCAAATTATACAGATCGACACCCTGAAGTTTCCTCTTCTAGGGGACGACAGTTGGGAATTTCTATTCCCGTGGAATACTTATGATTCTCTGAAATGAAGCAGGAGGATTTGGGCTTGGGCCTGTCGGATTGTTGATCTGAATGGATGGATGAGGGAACGGGCTGTGCTATAGTTTGGATCTTGAATGTCCCYAAAGGACCATGTGTGAAAGGTTTGGTCACCAGGGTGGCACATCAGGAGGTAGAGCCTTTAAGAGAGGGGGCCTAGCTTATGTGGTGGAGATGCCAGATCTGATAATAAAATGAAATTATAAGAGCATTATGATGAAGAACCAGCGCCTGGGGAAAGGGTTAGCCCCCCTCCCAGCCTCTCCTCAGGGAACCTAATTAACCAGGGGTTAATTGGGTTGTAAATAGCTATCTCTAGGAGTCCGGTGACTCTCTCTTGATATGTAAACATATCAAGTTTTCAAGGCCAGAGATACTTCTTATACTTTTGTAAACTTTTTAGTTTTTAGTTTGTAAACTTTTTAGGGATGTAGTGACATCACTTAATGGCTAGTATAAATTTTAAGTCACAATGCCAATTAACTGTTGTCTAAGTCACGATAACAACGCTCGCCRGTGTTTTCCTTTGTTCTGCACCTGTGAACTACTTATAAAATTTTGTACATGGTCCTTGGTCCAGAAGGTGAAGAATTCTAACCCACCAATATTGTACCTGGGCCCAGAACCTCAGAGCACAGGCTCATCTGGATCCACTGATGGACGAACCTGAGTTCTCCTGCTCTCCCAGTGGTGCTTGATCTGCTGAGCACAATGTCCAGGACACTTAGGTCACTGGGATGTGCCTTTGAAGGAGATTTGGGGCTCTGGGCTCTTCCTCTGACTCTCCTTTGCTTCCAGGCCATGGGGCCAGAAGTTTGGCTCTTCCACAGGCTCCCCCATGATATGCTGCCTTGTCACAGGCCCAAAGCAACAGGGCCTGCRGGGTATGAACCAGACTCTCTGCAGCTGTGACCAAAATGGACTTCCTTCCTCCCCTCCCTCCCACTCTCCCCTTCCCTTCCTTTCATCTTTTTTTGCTTTCTTCCTTTTTGCAGTACTGGGATTGGAACCCAGAGGTGCTCTACCCCTGATCTACATCCACAGACCTTTTATTTTTTATTCTGAGACAGGGTCTTACTAAGTTGCCAAAACTGGCCTTGAACTTGGGATCCTCCTGAGTAAYTGTCATTATAATTGCGTGTCATGAGGGCTRGGGATGTGGCTCAAGCGGTAGCGCGCTCGCCTGGCAAGCGTGCGGCCCAGGTTCGATCCTCAGCACCACATACAAAGGTGTTGTGTCTGCCGAAAGCTAAAAGATAAATATTAAAAAAAATAATTGTGTGTCATGATGCCTGGCTTGTTATGATTTTATTTTATTTGGTACCAGGGATTGAACCCAGAGGCATTTAACCACCGAGCCACATCCCCAGTCCTCCTTATTTTTTATATTGGCACAGGGTCATGCTAAGTTTCCCAGGCTGGTCAGGATCTTTCSATCCCCCTGCCTCAGCCTCCCGAGTTGCTGGGATCACAGGTGTGTGCCACTGTGCCCGGCTCATGCTTGGGTTTTCCTGGGAGGTTTCTGCAGAGAATGGAAGGTAGTGCACACCTGGCAACTGCTTGCTGCATTCTCACCCGCAGCCGCTGCTGTGCCTGATCTTGATCTAGACTAGAGACACAGCAGGTTCTAATAGAAGAGGRGAGGAGCAGGGCCAGTGCATTAGAGAGTGAGCAGAAAATGCGAAATACAGGCCCAACCTGCCACCTCCCCATTGCCTGACCTCTGAAATTCAGATGTACTCCCTGATGTCTCTAAGTAATCACAACCTTGATGTCACTAAGTGCCCTCAAGTGTTTCTTAATGGGTTCCGTTTTAGTGGAGTATGATCTGCTAAATAATCTGCAACATCCACCTCGACCCTTGGAGCTGGGTAGCTGCTGTTGGGCCCCGTGATATCTGACCGGACCTCAACCAGCAAAGTTGCCTGTCTAGGAATGTGGTGTTGGGTCACAGAGCTGTCTGGCTTGACTCCCAGATAGCAAGGCAACTCCAGGGTGATGGTGGCCTCAGTCYGCTGTGGGCCAGACAGGAGGAGGAGTACACTGGTCTACAGAAGGTGTGGTCCAAAGAGAGATGGGATAAAAGACCCACAGAGAAGTGGACTCCCGAGATGCAGAGAATGTGCTTCCCAGCATCTTTCCAGATCCYGTTGCAGACCCTTATGAGGCCAGCCTGCATTCCTGACCTTCAGACACCCTCCCCAACGCCCACACCTCGATCTGCTTCTCCCTTTGCTTTTCCTTTATCTCCCAGTTGTCAGTGTGGACATGAGGCTCGGTGCAATGGGCACAGACAGGACGGGCAGGAACACCACGGTCACTCATTCCTTCCTCCACCCACCTCGGTTTCTCCTCAGTGTTTCTCCTCAGGTCCTCCTGATCTTTCTTTCTATAAATAATTTTTTAGGCTTTACTGAAAAGATGACAATGACTATTTTTCTGAAATTCACCATTTTTTCCCTAGTTCTTTAGGTAAACAGTTTGACTTTCATATTAGTAGCTCTTACATATAAAGTGTGTTCCTTGTGCAGAAACACACCGGAACGATGGCAAACCCCAATCAATGCTGAGGGTGTAAAACAGAGAAGAAGACTTTACAGACTTGTATATATATATATTTTTTCTTTTTCAGTATTGGGTGTTGAAACCAGAAGCACTTTACCACTGAGCTACATCCCTAGCCCTTTTTGAGACGGGGCCTTGCTAAGTTGCTGAGGCTGCCTCAGACTTGTGACCCTCCTGCCTCAGCCTCCTGAGTGGCSGGGACTATAGGTGTGTGCCACTGTGTCCAGCTTATTTTTCTGTTTCTCAATAGTGCATCCCGTTATGCCTTAGTATGGATAAACTCCTTCAATGCACCAGGCACTTTATCCCTCATCTCTACCGTTCATAACAAGCCTCCAGAGTTGGTTATTTTCCTATTTCACTGATGAGAGGACAGAGCCAGAGCTGGATGAGCCCTCTGTCCCCACCGTCTCTTAGTTCTAAGCCTAACAGTACTCCAGGTTCCAAATGTATCCTATCTGCCAGGTTTGTTTTCCCCAAACCCAGAGAAGAAGTATCAAGAGCCAGAAAACTAGAAAGGAAACTGAAGGTTCGCTGAGCCAAGGGAAGCGGGACAGCTGTGAGGTGGGAGGGGACAGGAGCGTGGGGAGAGGCTGATGCAGACCCGGGTTCTTGAGCAGGGCTGCGTGCTGGGCTGAGCTGTGTGTTGTGGGAAACAGAAGGTGAGTCTGAGGTCTSTGAAAAGCGCCACTGCCTGGCAAGCAATGGGGACAGAACAGTGCCCCAAGAAACCTGGAGGAAGGGTCCAAAGCCACCAGTAGTAAGAATGCATTTCTTCAAAATGCCTTTTAAAAAATAGRCCCATCTGGCTTCCATTTCATATGTACCCCTATGTTTTCCTATAATTCTTCCCCACCACCGTGTCCCCCGGTGGAACAACAGCCCAGAGGAGTGCCAGTCCACCTGTGGCTCCCTGAGCCCCAGCACAGGGTTATACCCCACACTCCTCATCCCCACCATCCCCGTCAGACGTGCACCCCGGTTGCCAGGGGTGTCTGGGTCTGAACATTCACAYCCCCCTGCAGTTCATTTCATACCGATATGTATTGGGTGGATTTCAATTTCATCAAAATAGTTTAAGACAGTCTCATCTTCAATATTCATGTCCCGGTAGTTGCTTAGCGCCCGGAGGAAGCGGTCCTGGCTATAGTGGGTTCCCGCCACAACGGACTCGGGAAGGTTCATCACCCGCTCCTTCAGGAACTCATCGGAGGCATCCAGTGAACACACGAATTCTGCAGAGAGGGAGAAGCTCTGGAGTTGGCCCAGCACCACAGAGCTGTGTATTTGTTGAGTGAACGTGAGATCAGAGTGTGGGTMAGAGGAATAAGCTTCCCAAGGGAAGTCGCTATTCCTGATATTCTCAACAATAGCACCAGCAGACATGAGTCCCAGGACACAGGTGGCCAAGTGCATCCCCAAAACATGCTACCCACAGAAGCCCGCTAAGCTTGAGAATCATCGATTTCTGCTCTGATTGTCTGGTTCACACCTCATTTACTTGCACTCTAAGAGCTCTCTAGAGTGGAAAGTTAAGTGTATCAGGAAGACCTAGAGGACAGTGTGCCCATGGTGTGTGAGGAACAGGTGTGAACAGGGCCTGGGGCTGCCACCTGTGTTAACAGTGGAAATAAAGGCTGAGGCCTTGGCTGTGGAATGGGACCCTACAAATCCATAATAGTCAGATTCTACTACTGTTCTCATCTGTTTTGTTCATCATTGGCCATTGGTTTTCATGATTTTCATGAGTAGTACATTTTGAAAAGGGAGACACTTAAATTCCTAAATTCTTGTATAATACTTAAATCAAAATTCTGTCAATAAATTTATTGGGAATTGAATCTATTTAAGTTCTAGGATGTTAAAAATCTAGGTAGAAAGTTACTTTGTTAATAATTGAAGAATTTCAAAATATGTGTAATACTATCTCTTTTTTYCCCCCAAGTGATTGGGAGATTGAAATATTTCTAATAGTGAGTATTATACTTGATTCTCCAATTTTCAAAGGACTTTACTGTGATAAAATATACTTACCAGTAGGTGATTTTTTTCAAAGTTCCCTTTTTCCACATTTTTTATTCTTGCATTATAGTTGTACATAATGATGAGATTTGTTGTTACATATTTGAACATGTACACAATCACAGGTCTTTATGATTCAGAGAGGACTTCAGGATTTTGCAATATCTCAAGACAATTATTCAGAGCACCTACTGTCTTAACCTGGCTGGGAATGAAACTGGACCTGAGCTCATGGCAGTGGGGAAATCCACAGACTGATCCCGGGGAGAGAATGTGTCCAGAACTGATGTCATAGAGTCAAAGGCTTCATCACTGACGTGAAGCATGGATGCTGTATTAACCATTTTTAAATTTTTCTATGTCTTATGATGTTTTGATGTCTTGGGRGGCCTCTGGCCTAGAGATTCCCCGGCTCCCAGAGCTGGCTAGTTGTGAGTTTCTAAAGACAGAGGCAACTTACTGGGGGGCATCCAGAAGGGCGCAGGCAGCCAGGGCAAGATGGCAGTGAGGAGGCTGGGGCAGGGCCAGGACAAAGGAGCATGGAGAGGGCCTTCCAAAGAGGTCAACTTCCTGATTGACAAAAGTGCTCGTGGACACAACCAGGGGACCCAATCAGACAGACACTTCCATACTCATGCTTCTAAGTGAGGGATCCAATAGAAAAACTAACACAGATGTGTGGACGGACAGAGGGGACACCAGTCAGTAATACTGATGAGAGTGTGGACAGAGGAGGAGATAAGGAAAGGAGGGAATTTCAGAGACCATATAAAGAACAGGCCAAAATTGCCCACCAGACTCCCAGCTCTGGGGCTCCTTTTCCATAGAGAAGTCTGTCTCCGCCACTTTGCARTAAACCTGCTGCTTGCCTGCTCTCTCTCTCTCTGTGTCCTGCTCTTCCATTCTTTGCTGAACGAAGACGATGAGCCAGCACCCCTAGATGGGTTTACTTGAGAGCAACCCCCTCTCAGCAAGCCATCACCACTTGACCTAACTCTCATACCACGCCAGGCTCTGCCCTGCCCCAAATCATCTCAGGGCCAGGCAAATAAAGACCACCTCTGGGCCCCAGCTAGCCAACCCTGAGCTTCCTCTGGTCTGCCTKGCTTTCCCACAGAAACCCCAAGAAAGGTTCCATGCAGCCTAGACCAAGTTTGAATGGAAACCCTTCCCTTTTTCAGAAAGGTAAACTGGGGTTTGGCTTTTGGATCTGGTAAACCTGGGTGTCATTCCTGCCACATGGCACTGTGAAAAGGTTCACCCAGCTCAGATCTCACGCAGCACATGAGAAGCTGTTAATCAAGCTGAATTTTATCCAGTTACCTCAGCAAGAGCATTATGACTTACTATGGAGTTTGCAATAAATTAATGAACATTACCCAGAAGTGTTAAAGTCTCATAAATAGGATACTTCTAGTTATTMAAAAAATATCAATTTACTCTTTAACTTTTTCCCAAAGTGTATACCTAAATTAATGAGACAACCCCTCCTTTTGGCATTTTGGGTTTCTGCCATTGGTGCAGAGCCCACAGACAGACAATAAACATCCATCCCTGAGGATACCTGCTTTCTGGTGATCTCAGAGCTTCCAGAAGCTTCTCTACAGCTATCAACTGTACCCCTTTGGTGCCCGCTAGCAGGCCCTTTCAATTACAACCCTGAAGTAAGTTGCTGAAAATAGCTGCTTTTATTGATCACATGACTCAAAATGATCCCCTATGATTCATGTCACGCGAACCGTCTAAAAGTGACCACAAAACTTTTTAAAGGGTCACAGAGTGCCTGCCCATGCTCTGSGAATCCTGTTGTGGTGGACACGTGGTTTATGCTTCCATCTCCAGTGTGCTGTGAGACATCTGTGTCCAGACACCGTGGATTGAAGTGCTGCGCCTTAAGTCAGTGGCCAACAGGAAGGCTCTCACCTGACCGTCTCCACTCAGGGTCACAGGGTCTTGGAAGTAAAGGCATCATGGTGCCAGAAACAGGGGGGTAGGGGCTGCGGTAGCCCAGGCCCCTGTGGGCTTGCCAGGTGACTCAGTTCCACACCTTCACCAGGACAGCTACTGGCCACAGGGGAGAGCAGCAGGACTGCTCTCCATTTCAGAACTTCAGTATCTCTGACGTTTACCCCTGGTACACTCCCTCCTTTCCAAGTTTGTGCTTGTGTGTATCTTTTAAAATTTTCCTACAAATAGATCTATTTTATTAAACTCAAAAAGATTGTTTTGGCACAAGAGATGTTGAATACCATTCATTTAAATGTGATCTTGGAGAAATATCTTAAACTTACCAGGTATAATTAATTTATCAAAGGGAAGCATTTTGCCTTTGACTTCTTCATCCTCCTCCTCATCTTCCTCTAATAGAACAAAATATATGAAGTAACATTTATTAACATATTACTAAGGGTCATAGCAAGAACTTAAATATCCTATCTTGATCTGCAAACACTAATGAAAACTAGTCATCAATAGACAACGTAGTTCAGAAACAGTCTTGCAACCTAAATATCAATTGATAGATGAATGGATACAGAAAGAGTAGTTCAYACAAAGAGTGGAATGCTATTCAGCCTTGAAAAAGAAAACTTCCGCAGTGTGGACGAACCTTAAGGACATTAGGCTAAGTGAAGTGGGCCAGTCACAGAAAAAGTCCTGTGTGATTCTACTTACATGAGGGATCTTAAATAGTCAAATTCATGGAATGGGGGCTGTGCTGGGCTGGGGAGGTGGGGAAGGAGAATTAGCAATCAATGGAGACAAAGTTTTAGTTCAGCTAGATAAATAAGCTTTAGAGATCTGCTGAACAACATAGGACAAAGAGTCACCAATAACGCACTGTGCACTTAAGAATGTATTAAGAGGAGAGATCTCATGTCAAGTGTTTATGCTACAATGAAATAAAAACTTTTAAAAAGTTAAAAGCTATGCATCTAACTGGGTGTGGTGGTGCGGGTCTGTAATCCAAGGGACTCAGAAGGCTGAGACGGGAAGATTGCAAGTTAGAGGACAGACATCCTGACAACCTAGCAAGACCCTGWCTCAAAATAAAAATTAAGAAGGGCTGGAGGTGTGGGTCAGTAGGAGAGTGCCCTTGGGCTCAACCCCTAGCACCAAAACAACAACTACAAGACCCTAGACATTAAATACCAGTGATAAAAACAAGGAATCTTTGTATTGCTGATCTGTTTCTAACAAAGACAAAMACATACATTTTAACACTGGACAACGGGGAACATAAGCCTCAGAATAACAAGGATTGTTTTGCTTGTTTCCTGGAACTGTACACCAGACCACTACCAACCCCAAGAAGGCAAAGGWCCTCCTTCCATTCCCGAACACATTAGACTTCTGTCCATGTATTTAATTTTCTTCCTATATTATTCTACTTTAAAAAAAAAAAACTTCTACAATGAATATAAAATGAGGAAAAAATCAACACATAAACCTACAATATGAAGAATCACTAAAATTTCTTATTATGGCTGGGTCCCGTGGATACCTGTAATCCCAGCAATTCAGGAGCCTATGGCAGGAAGATTGCAAGTTCAAAGCCAACCTCAACAACTTAGTGAGGCCCTTAGCAATTTAGCAAGACTCTGTTTTAAAAAAAAAAAAAATTCATTGTGGCTGGGTGAAGTGGTGCACACCTATAATCCCAGCTAGCTACCTGGGAGGTTATTATCTCAGCTAATCAGGAGGCTGAAGCAGAAGGACCACAGGCCAGCATGATCAATTTAGCCAGACCTCATCTCAAAAAATAGAAAGATCTGGGGATGTGACTCAGTCATAGTATGCCCCTGGGTTCAATCCACAGTATCAATAAACCAACCCACAAACAAAGCTATGTACCTAATAAAAGGTGAGCCAAGATTCAAATTTAAAAGTCTCTCCATATTTCTTAATTTAATTGAGTGAACAATATGGTTACAATTTATCTGAATATAAATGCACAAAACATAGGAAACACTCAAAACTTACGATTGAACAGATCTTTTGCTTGATCATAGGTCTTTGGATATCCATCCAAAATGTATCCTTGATTCCTACAAGGCATGGATTTTAGCTTTTCTTTGACAAATCTAATTACATATTGATCTTCCAGTCGACCTGATAAAAAGAAAAAATATGTTACTGGGGAGCACGGTCTACATGGGAATGAGGTTCTAAACTACCTCAAGAACTGTGTGGTTAAAGGGGTGATTGGGATCCTTTTAAAGTAAAAGTTACGTGGTTTTGATACATGAATGGATAGCAGTGAGCTGTCTGTAAGAGGAACAGAAGCAAACGTCCATGCCTGCTTTGAAAACTGTCTTGCAATCACAACTTTGGGTGGAGCCGAATAAGACTCGGAGTTTTACTCAGTTCTGGTGGTGTTTTTTTTTTTTTCTACAGACTTTTTTGTTGAGATGGGGTCTCGTGGTCTTGAACAAGCTGGTCTCAAACTCCTGAGCTAGAGCGAGACTCCTGCCTTGACCTCATCTAGAACTCAGGCATGTGCCTCTGAGTCCAGCTCTCCCAATTTTATCTCAGTATCACACTTCTGTAATCCTAATATGCAATAATACATGCTTCTGTTGTGAGAATTAAGTGAGGTAGATAGTGTTCATTTATGCTGCTAGCACATGATTTATTAAAAGTAGGTGGCTGGCTCTAGGTGTGGTGGTGCACACCTGTAATCTCAGCAGCCCAGGAGGCTGAGGCAAGAGGATCCTGAGTTCCAGGCCAGCCTCAGCAACTTAGCGAGGTCCTAAGTGACTTGAAAGACCCTGTCTCAAAATAAAAAGGATTGGGGATGTGGGGATGTTACTCAGTAGTCAAGGACTCCTGGGTTTAATCCCTGGTACAAAAAAAAAAAAAAAAAAACCCACACAAAAAGTAGGTGCTTGGCAAAGGAAACAATAGGAATGTAAAGAGAGAATCTATAGAACGGGAGATTATCTTTGCTAGCTACTCCTCCAATAGAGCATTAATATCTAGAATATGTAAAGAACTCACAAAATTTACACTCCAAAAATCTGATCCAATTAATAAATGGGAAAATGAATTAAACAGACACTTCTCTAAAGAAGAAATACCAATGGCCAACAAATATATGAAGAAATGTTCAACATCATTAGCAATTAGGGAAATGCAAATCAAAACTACACTGAGATGTCATCTCACATCAGTGAGAAAAATAGTCATCAAGAATACAAACAATAATAAATGCTGGAGAGCATGTGGGTAAAAAGGAAYGCTTTTACACTATTGGTGGGATTATACATTAGTATAACCATTAAGGGAATCAGTATGGAAGTTCCTCTAAAGGCCAGGCATGGAACCACCCTGTGACCTACCTATACCACTCCTCAGTATTTATCCTAAAGAAATCAAAGTCACCTTATTGCAGGGATACACACATCCCCATGTTTACAGCAGCACCATTCACAAAAGCTAAACGATGGAACCAGCCCAGGGGTCCATCAATGGATGAATGGATAAAGGAAATGTATGTATACACAATGGAGTTTTATTCAGATAAAAAAGAAAAATGAAATTATGTCAATTGCGGGAAAATGGATGGAACTTGAGACCTTTATGTTAGAAATGAGCCAAACTCAGAAGGTCAAGGGTCATGTTTTCTCTATGTGGAAACTGGAGAGGACAAAGGAAAGGAAAGGTAGGGGAGGCAGGGATCTCCTAAAAATCAAAGGGAGATCAGCAGAGGAAAGGGGTTATGGGTGAGAGGAAGGGACCCGGGGGGAAGWGCTGGGGAATGATATTGGCCAAGCTATCTTGTTATATTGTGTGCATGTATGAATGTGTAACAATAAGTAATTGTGTACAACCATAAGGCACCAATAAAAAATGTGGAAAGAAAAAAAAAATAAAAGTAGGTGCTTGGGCTGGAACTAAATCTCAGTAGCAGAGTTTGTGCTTGGCATGCATGAGGACCTGGGTTCAGTCTCTAGTGCATGTGCCCCCAACACACACACACACACACACACACACACACACACACACACACACACACACTGCTCAGGAAATATTTGCTAGATTTGAATGATAGTTAAACTTGACCCAACTTTCAAAGGCTCTGTTCTCCTTAGAGCTGCAGAAAAGGCTGTGCCCCCACCTCACTTCCTCTGTGCATGGCATTTTTGACTTGGCCCAGTGCACAGGTCCCTCTCAAGCCCTGGAAGCTGGGAGGTGGACCTGAGGCGGGAGGAGTCTGCTCTAAAGAGGCACAGTGGTTAAATGACAGCATGTTATCTGAGCAGCTGTCACACTCAAGACACGGCCAGTCCTTCAACTGCTTAACAGCGTGTCTAATAGTAATGCAAGCTTGCCAAGCCCGAGGTTAGATCTCCACGGTTCCTTCTAACGCTTTTAGTTTATCAGGAAGTTGCTTATATAAAATAGCTTTTAGCCTCTTTTGATATCCTACTAGTGACAATAAAATGATCTAATTAAAACATCTCTTCTTTCTTCTACTTTTCAATGTCACACAGATCATTAGATGGTAAAGGATTCAGGAAATAATTGTGTCTTTCAGAAATTTAAGTGTTATGACCAAGATAAAATAATGATTAAAGGTGTTATTTAACATAATGAAATTCCTCCAAATGGGTTTACATTACTTCTTAGTAAGGTTGCAGTGGTACAAAGAAATAAAACCATTGTTAAGAATATCGAGGGATTCACTAACATTCAAAGACCAGCTTTATTTAAGCAATCTAGTCTCAGTTTTCAAAACTTGCATCATTATGATAAGGACATGTAATCAAAAATCTAGCTAAGGTCCCTTTCAAGAGCTCCCTTGTTCATTTAAGTCACTGGGCTTTACCATTCATTTCTGTGTTCAGTAAACAACAAGGGGCCTCTTACATAGTTTTTGGTAATGATGGAATGTTTTAGAGGCATGACTGGGTGGGCCAAGCCCAAGGGCCTTATTCTAGAAAACTAGCACCTCCCTAGGCTAGTGTTGAGCTACAGGGCAGGTGATCTCTCCTATCTGCTTTATTTTTAATTTTAAATAAATTTTAATGTGCATATCTGAGGTTTAACTGTGTTGCTAGGGGATACATATGGATAATAAGATGGTTACTACAGTGAAGCAGACTTGCTGTGTATCTTCTGGTTACTTTCCTGTGATAGGGCTGCTGAAACGCTACTCAACAAGATCCCTGCTGGAACACACTGCCGTTCCCTGGAGTCCTTGTGCTGCGGCACCTTCCACCTCTAGACTGTGATTTTGTTTCACTTGACCTATGTCTCCCCATCCCTACCCCACCCTAATCTTCACCAGTGGTTACACTGTTTGATCCTCTAAATCTGTAATTAGATCTCTTTTAAAAATCAACTTCACAAATAAGTGATACCATGTTCAAGCTTTTTCCCAGAGCTTATTTCTCTAGGCCTAACGCCCTCCAGTTCTATCCATGTTAAGACAAATGGCAGGATCCCCTCCTTGTCAAAGACTGAAAAATATTCTGGTGTGTGTGTGTGGAGGGGCGTGCGCACGTATGTATGTATGTATGTATGTATGTATGTATGTATGTATGTAACACATTTTCTTTATCCATCCAGCTGTAGATGGACACTGAGTTTGCTCCTGTATCCTGCTTTGGTGACCAGAGCTGCCAGGTTTGCTGGAGTGCAGCTATCTGCACAAGCTGGTGAGTTCAGATCTTTTTGTTACCTGCCCAGAAGAGCGATCGCTAGGTCTAATGGTGGTTCTTATTTTCCATTTCTTTAGGGACCTCTATGCCGTTTTCCATGAAGGCTGGACCACTCTCTGCTTTGAAATGAACCAGTACAGACCTACCAGTACCGAAACTTTTAAAATGTCAACCTGCTTTTTTTCTTTTAAGTACCACTAATATTTAAAATATTCATGCATATTCATAATTTTCAAAACAGGATTTAAAGAGAGCTATAGGCCAAGGTTTTCCAATTATCTATGCACARTGTAGATTTACAAAGCTGAACAATTACAAATGATTTTCCCTTTTTATTTCAAAYTCACGGGAAATCCCACTACCTAGACTTAATAACCCCACACATTTTGAAATAGATGAGATGAACACAAAGAATCCAGAACTARCACACTCTGTGCTTTAGGGACTTCRGTTCCCATTTTGGCTGCATTGTTGGGGACAGCAGGCATAGAGTTCTGCCAGGGGCCCAGGGGCCTCGCTGCAGGACTGTGACATCGCACTGCTAGGATCCTTGGAACCACAGGACAAAGGGTCATGTGAGGGGAAAGTGAGCTCCCTCATGTCCCTGCGGTGGGTTCAAAGGTCTTGTTTTGTTCAAACATAATCAAGGTCTACGACCTGGCTTCAGGTAAACATGAATGGGAAGGATTTTTGGACAACCTTGAGGAAAGAAATCTCCCTAAAGTTAAGAGGGTGGATGAACTATTCCTATCTCATAGAAGTGGTTGGCATTGGGTGCCACATGGGAAGGGCAGTGGCTTGCCATTCTACACACTGCCCTCTCCAAAGGCCACTTCCCTGCTCCCAATCGCTCCTGCATCTCTTGCCCGAGGATGCCAGCCTCTTTGGCCTCTCTGGCAGCTGGGGAAGAACAGTGTCTCCTGCTAGGAACAGGTCCTTCTTGAGCTTGGGGACTTGGCTACTGCACTGTCTCGGATAACGTTTGTCCTATAACGTCTGTCCTGGGAGTGAAGAAAGCTCAGCTGGTATTTTGTACTATTGTGTTTTGCTAAGTATGTAGATAGTGTCTTTGAGTCCTTGCAAAGACCAATTATGTAAGTCTCTGTCAATAAGTAACAGTTGGCTGCCCTGTCAGCCTGAATATCAGGCATCCCTGCCTCTGTCTGGGGTGGCATAGTTCACTCTCCCACGCCCTGTCTGTGGCCTTCCACGCAGCCATAAGGTTTGGGTATACAAGGCCACATACACCTGTTCATTACTAAGAATTCCATCCTCCACCCCTCAACATGGCCTTGCCGGCCAGATCTCCCTCCTCAGTGTTCTCACTGTGGAATGTCTTATCTTGAGGGCTTTCCCCCTCCCCCCAAAGGTGAATGAATATTACCTCCCAAATGCCTTGTGGCAAGCCAGAGGCAATGCTGTATCTTAAGTATTAATCTGTGTTTTCTGTGTTCCTTTGCTTTCCTCTGGGAACTTTTCATGGAATTCAAATCCCGTTTCCTCCAGAACCAGCCATGCTAGAGCAGAAACTGACTCAGACAGGCAGCTGGCTTAAGTGGTTGCTCAGGATCAGCATCCAAAACCACTTTCTCCACCAGATGGAACCAGCCTGGGAGAAGAGAAGTACTGGGGACCTGAGCTCAGAGCAAGGCAGGGAGAGACTAGCGACTTTAAAGTGGAAGGGGGCACAACAAACTAAGGAGGAAGAGTCAGGGATAAGAGGGGACTGTACTCAGGCTGGCTGAATATCCTGCACTGTCACACATCCCACAAGGGAGGTGGCAATACTGACACCTAGGGCATGCGATGAAGTCAGGACAGGGAAACTGGGTCCCCAGCCAAGGGGGAGCTGGGCTGGAAAGAGGAGCACCTTGGGACAAAGGTTGGGAGCCAGAGGACATCTCTGGATGGCCGTGGAGGGCAGTCAGGTCCTGTGCCCCAGGGCATGCAGTGGATGGGTACCAGTGCAGACTCAGCAGAACCCAACACGCTGGGTTCTGATGCAGGAAGAAACATGAAGCGCCATTACCCAGCATGGCTCCCACCTCAGCGGCCACAGATGCCTCTGTTGTATCCCCCCACCTTCCRCAGGCTCCACGGCCCTAGCCCAACCCTGGAGGATAAGAAACAGCCACCAGTAAGAGGGGCGGAGTAGGGAGAGGAAAGAAAACAAAGGTGGTGGGGAGGAGGGCCGGAGCTCTGATTAGACCCCCACCAGCCCCCACCAGTCGTACCYCCTGGACCCCTGGACCACTCTCCAGACACTCTCCAGTGATGGCTGGAAGGAGGGTCTCAATCAAGTATAAAAATGAGAAGGTTTTCTGCTTTCCTGCTGGGTAGCAAGATCCCCCAGAGATAACTCTCAAAATCCAGTTTGTGAAAATTTGATTGTCAAGGACTTAGAGCAGGAGTAAACACAGGTGTTACTGGCTTCTTATCTGAGAGTTGCAAGAGGACAGGCCTGGAATTCCAGCCAAGGGTGGGGAAAGAATGAATCCAGAGTTTGAGTTGAAACAGAAACCTTCTGGTCTGGAAGTGTGCCTCAGTGGTAGAGTGCTTGCCTAGCATGTGGCATGCTGGGGGCCCTGGATTTGACACCCAGAAACCGCCCCTGTAAAGTCCTTGCTTAGCATCTGGATGGCCATCTTAAGTGACAGCTGCCATTTTAAGGAAAAAGTTTTGCTTTTCTGTTCAAGGGCATTTCTGAGAAAGGCTCACCACTCCCTTATACCAACCCAATCCCTAACTACCTTCATTAGGACCCACAAGGCTCTTATTCCTGAGCCTGCCCTATAAAAGTCTGGGAACCCAAGCCTGTTTTGCCTCTCTCCAATATAGAGAGATGGCCTTTATTTGTCAAATAAACTCTCTTGTGTACCTCTGCCTGGTCTCCATCTTTCATTTCTCATTTACCCGACTCTCGTTCTTCGATTTCCCTTCAGCATCACCCCCAAGCAATAAATAAAAATAAACAAAGAAATAAAACACCTTACTGTGATTCGTTGGTTCAATAAACTGGTTAATAACTAATTATCAAGTGAATAAGAAAACTTTATTTCTTCCTACGTGAATTATTGGTTCATGTTATCCATTTTTCTAATTGAATTTAATGGGGTTTTTTTTCTTTTTCTGGTGGTAGTATTGGGGCTGAGCCCCGGGCTTCATGGGGCCTAAGCTAGTACTCCACCTCTGAGCTACATCCCCAATAGTTTTTAGTTTTGATTTTGAGACAGGGTCTCCCTAAGTTGCCAAGGCTGTCCTCAATCTGCAATCTTCCTGCCTCAGTCTCCCGAGTTGCTGGAATTACAGGAATGTGCCACAGTGTCCAGCAGAATTTAAAGATTTTTCTATTAGTTTGCCTGAGTATTTTATAAATTTTTTAAAAATATTTTTCTTAGTTGTCAATGGACCTTTATTTTATTTATTTATAGAGCACTGAGCCACAATCCCAGCCTGGTATTTTATATATTAATAAAATCAATTATTTTATTGGTGGCAATTATTTGTTTTCTTGGTTTGTCCTTTGCTTTTTAATTAATGATGTTTGATACCTATAAAATATATATGAAGAGACATTYGAATTTTGTGTGTGGTGATGAGAACCAAATCGGGGCCCAGCATCTCTTAGGTAAGTGCTCTACCACTGAGCTACCCACTAGTTTATGATTTTTTTTTTAACTTAGAAAGTTCTTTCCTATCCTATTTTCAGACAGTCACCAAAATATTGACAATGATGTTTTTCTCCCTGGGAGGTGAGGTTAGAAATGAATTTTCTTTGTTGTTATCATAACTTCTGGGGTACTTCACTTTCAGAAGCAAACAGGTAGTCTTTTAAAACCAGATTTGAAAAGCAGTCACCATTGGCAAGCTGTGTGCTRCAGCCTCACCTGCATTCTGCTCCATGCTTTCCTTGATGCCATCCAAGAGCTCCTGAGCATCCTCCACGTTCTCCTCCTCCTCTTCCTCCTCGCCCTCRTCTTCTCCATCCCCTACCTCCTTAGGTGCAACAATCGCCTCCTGCAGACCACAGGGATGTTCAAATTGGACAGTGCTCTGCTTTGCTTTGCTCCTCACAAATCAATTGCCCAGTGATCCTGGAGAATGGCTGGTGCCCAAATCAGGAATGTAGTCAGTGACCATGCAAAGGTTTGTCGAATATGTTTGTCTACAACAATGTATGGGAGACTCAAGGTCTTTCCTACTCTGCTTTTAGGAGAMTATATTTCTGTGCTAATGCCAGAATTGCCTAAGAGTCAAGTCCTTTCTAAGGTATTTGGTTATATCTTACTTGAAGGAAACATATTTTGTAGAAATCAAGACTTTAGGCTGGGGCGTAAATCAGTGGAGCGAGGACTTGGGTTCAACATCCAGCACCAGATGAAGAAAAAAGGACTTTTAGAAATCACTTCTGGAAAATTTTCTCAGTAGCTACCATTTCCAATAAAATGATGAAAAGCAGTTAAGGTTCTGATAACACCCTGAGAAACATACTGCAAGAATGAAAAGCAAAAAACAAAAAGCTTAATAGTATTCCAGTCAGCAGAGAGMAGACAAGATACACTTTGAGCAAGAGCGGGAGGCCGACTAAATTTCAAGGACAATCCATGAAAGATGCTTCTGTTTCACCGAGGAAAGCCCCACRGGAGTCTGGGTTTTCATAACCGGGGCCAAAACCAAAATCCAAATAGAAGAACAAATCTCTTTGACAAGTCAAATTAGTTGCTAGAATATTACAGCACTCGGAAAAGCATCTTTTAAACTTAAAAATCCCCAATAAAGTAGTTTAGAATTACCAGTTTTGCTATGGCTTCGGAAATCACATCCTTTATTTTGATGTGATGTAGTTTGTAATGCTTGGCCAGCTCTTCAGCAATACTGGATTTTCCCACAGCAGGAGGACCAAGGATACAAATCTTGATTGGCTGAAAAAGGAGAACAGAGAACATACAGTGAGTCTGAATGATCTGGGGCTACACATTCAGGGATGTGCCTTCTTCAATCTCAGGACCCTGCAGCTGAGGCTCCTTCCTCCATAGAGACTCCAGAGCCTCTGCCTCCAGGCCCTGCCAYCATGGTCATGCTGTGTCATCCTGAAAGTGCCTGAGGGGTTCACGTCCTGGTTCAGGTTCATTCCTTCAGCAGGGAGTCAAAAGGATTTACTACACGTACTGACCTGGGCCTGGGGGATACGACACTCTCAAGATTCCCCCAGGAACATCCCAAAAGGACTAAACAGTAAGTGCTTAGGCATCAGGCGCTACCCGTCTCTTCTGTATGCGCCACTGTCAGGAGCACAACCACAGCAAAGTAATCCCACAAGAATCCCCATCCAGTGCACAAGGGGCCTGCCTTATTGCCTGAATATGACWTGTTTTTATTTATAACACAGTTCTCTACTCTGATTTTTAAAAATACACTTATTAAAATAAAACACCATTTATTCTACTGAAAAACTTGCTTGAATGCTATAGAAGCTCTGWGGCATTCATAACCAGTGAGTAAACGTTTACTTCTAACAGAAATAAAAATATCAGTAGTAAGTAGTCATTTCTTTYAAAATAGTCCAAATAGTTGTGAAGCTGAGGCCCAGTGTTTGCAAGGTAAATTTTAAAATCATGCCCATGAAAAGAATTTCCATGGGTGGGATATCTGTGTGCCAAGTGATGACAGATTTCACCAAGTGGCAGGCAGGAGGGAGGCAGGAGTAGGGGAGGCAACGCCAGAGCTCAGTCCTGAGGGCAAGACTGGGCCCTGGATGGTTTTGGTGCCAAGGCCTGAGGCCSAGTTGTCAGCCGGGCAGGTTTATGTGCCTCACTGACCATGTACACAGGATGGRTCCTGTCCCTTGGGTGGGCTCACCTTATCCAGCCAGGTATGAAACCAGGAAGCAATTCACTCACTTTTTAAAAATAATTGTGATTTTAATATCTGATTTTATAAATTGGTAAATACTATAGGTACAAATCCCTAATTATTATATCTAACTTATTTT